AGAAATCGGGTCGTGTTGATATTTCGCTGCAATCACCGTTACATTCACCGCATTCCACCGGACAGAAATAAGAGACGCGTTTACAAGCGGCACTTTTACGGCGCTCAAACGCTGTCAACTGGGTATTCCAATCGTGTAACGAACTATAAGAGGTCTACCGTGCAGGTATAACCGGTCTTAAGTCTGATGCTTTTGTTGCATTGTTTGTGTATTTTTTGTTGAGTGAATGAGACGTTTTGTGTGTTCGTGTTATCAGTAGGAATTGTCCACAGCCATCCGATTATCACGGTTGGCTGCGTACGGTGCGAAAGACGTCCAACAAACGTACGTACATACATAAAGCATCACAGTGCCGTGCACTACATTCAAAGCGATTCATTTCAATACTCGGGTGGTATCTTGAGTTCATCTGTATCCCGTATCGAAATCAGCTCAAGCCTCCTGTAAACCACGTGACTTGTGTGTAACCACGCCCACTCGGAATGCCTCCCCTCTCCCCGCCCACTGTGAAAACAGACGCCGCTCCTCCTCCGCACAACTCACTGCTCGGTCCTTCCCTCGTGTTCGATTCCCTCCCCTCTCTTCGTCACCACCCTCTCTCATCCCCGATATCTTTGCCTGCTCATTCCTTCTCCCCTCCCCTTCTCTTCCTGATGCTCATCTTAAGCGTAAGGAATGCCCCGTTTCTCCATACGGTGCGAAAGAAGTTCAACATATACACACGAACTTCCCACCCATTTCCTCCTATTCCCCATGCTTTCTGGTCCCTCTTTCCGTGCCCCGTTCTCATTACATTCTTGACGCTGCTCCCTTTCCCGTGGTGTGTGTAACGGATATGAAAAAAAAACAATACGGTAATACCCCGGTTTACGCCGGGGATGCGTTCCTGCAAGGTGCGACCGTAAATATCGAAACGACGTCAAATCAAACCGAGGTACAGGGGTAGTAGTGGGTGGTGGTGGAGGCTGTGAGAGGCGACGGATAACGAGACAGGACAACGACGCTGTCAGCGACGTGAGCGTGGGGCTTGTGGCGAAACGAATCGGGGTAAAGGTGTTAATAATAATTATAATTAAGTGACGACGTCTTTGCGAAATGACGTTAAAAGGGTGGGGGGTCCGTGAGACGTTAATCGGGGGTATTGCTCTAAGCCCTCTTAAACGTCTGCACACAATTTTGCGGCTGTGAAATGTGCCTGCCACTAGATGGCCATCGATGACCTTGAGGGTTTAGCGAAAGGGTAACGGCTGCGACGCAGCGGTGAGTTTTGCTCAGCGAGAGGAGGTGACATCCGCGGTCGGCCCATTTGTGTGTGTGTGTGTGTTCACGTGTAAACATTCGAGCGGCGTTCAAACCAACGTAATCACCGCACCCTGTGCACACAGCGAGGGGTTCGGCAGTGTTGGTCGCTGGCACATTTCGTGAAGTGAAAGCATTTGCATTTGCGAACGCTTGTGACGTTGGTTAGCCAGGGAGGACGTAGAACCGCGGAGACGGAGTGGATGGAATCGGTGTGCAGACGCTGGATGGATTTTTGCTGCTGGCTGCTGTGCGAAAGCCTTTCATCCGGCACTGGAAATGATCGTGGTCGAAGATGATCATTGTGCACAACAATTCATAGGACGGTTAATACAGATACTCGATAAACATGGGACGTTGGACCAACGTTGTTCCATTTAACACGTAATGTTGGGCCAAGGTTTATTTAACGTTGGCCCAACGTTGCATGTTTAACGGGGTATAAGTGCACATAGTCAGCAATTTGACGATAATTTCCCACACCTCCGATTAGCACGGTTCGCTATGTAAGTACGGTACGAGAGAAGCTCGACAAACATACACACAATTACAGCATTGTTCCACAATGATGATTGCATTGGGTTGAGGTGAAATGTGTTCACCAAATTGTTTCAGCTCTTTGAGAGTAGAATGTGATTACTGCAGTGCCCTTCCTGGGCGACTGAGCTGCACTGCAGTGGCACTTGCCAGAGAGTGCTCAAAAAGCACACGATGTACCGGTTACTGCAGCGTTCCATCTTTAAAAAAATATATATACTGTCAAGTACAGTCACGCATATCATAGCAAGACCACTGTAGAGCAAAACGCTCTTGCTGGTTCACCACCAAACACACTTCTCATTCTGCCTTGTCCCTCGCACTGCTCAGCTGTGGAACTCCCTCCCATCGTCTCGTTTCTCAAGTATTTTTTTTAAATATAAACCTTGGTCAATTCCAGACATGCGTTATTAATTCTTATCAATTGCAACTTTGAGAGTGCCGTTTGTTGCTCGCTGCTTGACACTTGGGGCCTTTTTGGCTTATATGATCAGCAACTTTGTTTAATGAATTAAGTAAAAAAACATGCCACAAATTCTATTATCTGAATGTTCGCATCTCCTTTTACTTGCACACATGTATAGCTTAAATGAGTGGCTTTTTCATTCCCCCGCAACTTAGATTAGTATGGCTGGCTCTGTATGGTGCAAAAGAAGTTCAACATACAAACAGTATATAGCCTGGAAATTGTGGAATATCCTTTTGTGCGAATCGGTGGGTTTGACCCAACTCGAAATGACTCAAAGTGGCCTCCCAGGATTAGACCATTCATCCAATTGTGGACAATGAACAATCCAGAAGAGGTATCCACATTTATCTACTCGTCTTCATGCGCATAAAAGGAAGTTATTTCACCGACAAAAGGGCGAATAGGATGATACGTCAATCGTGCCCCAACGCAGATAAGAGAAAACATTTTCTGTTCAGAAAAAAAAATCATAACAGAGTACTATTCTTTGGGTCTTTCGGTAAAGCCACGTAGATATAAAAAAAATATCACGTTTCGATCGCAACACAAGCAATCGTTTTTCGATCGCAACACATGCAAAACGATTGCTTGTGTTGCGATCGAAACGTCGTGATATTTTGATCATTTTTCTATCTACGTGGCTTTACCGAAAGACCCAAAGAATATAAATTCCTGCAGTCACGAAAGCTTTAAGCAGAGTACTACTTACCATGAACCAAAACTTAAGAGTTGGACTCGGTTCCAATGTGCCCTTGGCTTAAATGTGATCTAGAATATAAAGGCAAGCTGATGTACGTTTGGAAAGTGCAGTGCACCAGCTGCATGTTTACTGCGGTGTGTGGAGAGTTGGCGTAATTTTAGCTCCTCGTGTACGTGCTAAAACCACTGCAATTTGGCGGTTCCATTGAATGACGGCGAAGGATATATTGCAATCGTGAATATCGTCTTCTCTGCTGTACCCGCAGCACTCTGGCAGCCACGATCCTTGACAGATTTGGACGGGACATGCACCAAAGCGTCTGGTGGCAGAGAAGAGGCCCCATGTTTGGGCAGCAAAAGCCACCGTTTATCAAATTAGTTTTCTTCCAAGGGCAAATCTGGATTAACTTTGGACCATGCATAATACCGTGGCGCGTCTTTACGTGACTTGCTGTCAGACGGCTAGCAATGATGATTATTAGCCTAGGGCCACACCGAAACCACTTATCAGCCAGAGCAGCCTGCTGTGATTAGGTGTTGTGGCTAAAGGGAACCCTGAGTTTGTGCGACTTCTTGGAAGCAAACGGGCACTGCAGTTATTTTACAAATATTTGATTGTTCCATACTTGCATGGGGGTGGAGCAGTGGCGAAGAGATTAGTGCACCGTGCAATGAAACCAGTGACCTGATTTTAATTCCCCTTCTGGTAAAATCACTGGCGGGAAACATAGCCACTAAATGATGATGGTGATGTCACCATAGCGATTGTGCCAGGCTGCTTTGAATCCACGTAAAATGTCGATGGATGGTTGGCGGGAGATCACGGGACTGATCCAAGTGTTATGGAATAACGGAGACGAATGGCATTTGGAGGCTTCATCCAGCAGTGGCTTGACAAGGGCTGTAAATATAATATTTCATAATTGTATTATTCTACTTCCATAACCAGCAACTGCTGCCATAGCTGAAAGCTGCCGTGGTATACCGGTCAGCACACTGCACATGCAATTCAGGTTACCATTTCGATCTCCTGGCATGGACGTTGAAATGCAAGTAAATCATTCTGCCTCTGTCCACCCAGCAGTATGTATGTTGAACTTCTTTCACACCATACGTCGCCAACCGTGCTAATTGGGGGTGGCTACGCCACAGTCGATGGGCAGGTCGTGTGCGGTGGGATAAAGTGCGCTACTCTCACCTCTGCCAACACATGTGGTTAAAGTGGAAGAGTAGACCGACTATTCGCTAGAGTTCGCTTTGGTGGAGGCCCGTTCACCAGCAGTGGTGTGAGCAAGCAATTGCAGGGCTGCACCTTTGCCACTATTGCCATCACCGGCAAACTATTATTTCGTTAGCTACGTAATAAAATACAGTGCAGTCGTTGTAGGTGTCTCATGCAGATGTTTCCGCCGGCAACCCTCAACAAAAAAAATCCGCGACCTTCCCTGACTACACTTTCCCCAAGGGTGTAACTGGCCTATTTGAGTATGTTTGCATTGCTTTGTAAAAGTGGTAAACTGGGAATATCGCCACGCGTTTTTTTCGCAGACTACATAAACACACAGGCCCCCCCTGTATCCTGCTGGGCCGGTGCTGTGCGCGAGCGAAGTTTGTGGGTTTTCATTGTTCTCTCTGAAGACGATGCGACCCAGCGGTGGTTCCTTTTTGCTCCTCCTGCGGCCCTTTGTTTTTTTTGGGGGGGGGCCCAATGTTTTTTGGGAGGGCCCAACGTTTTTATTTCTCGCGCGCTCAAGCCGCCCAGGCGAGAACTACGCGCGTGAGAGCTCAACGATCAGAGGATCGCGAGGAAATTCCGAAACCTCACTTTTTCCTTTACAAACCTTGCACACACACACACACGGGCACGCGGGCGCGCTGGTATTCTGCGCGCCCGCTCCCGTCATTCGCACGCACCCCCGTAGACGTTCGCTAGCGGCGTACGTTACACGACTCGTGATGAAAAATCACTGCGCTATTTCCCTCCCGTGCACGGTCGTCCCGCCAATCGGACGCACGCCGAACGCTCAACGTGTTCGGCAAAACCCCCTTGGCTTCCCCCCACCACCACCACCCCGGCTGTGAAGTCTGCAACTTTGCCTGTCCTTGGCACGGTGCCTTCTTGTTTCTTCTTCTTCTCATTTCCAAAAAAATCTGCTGGCCAGATGTGATGGCCCGCTTCCTCTTAGAGAAAAAAAAACATGCTCACGTGCTTTCACTGACTCAGGGGGCCTGCGAGGCAATACCCACGCAGGAGTGTGGAGTTTAGGGTGATTCGCGTAATGCTTGGTTTTTTGCTCAAGAGTGAGCGGTGATTTGCGTCTAACCCGCATCACGTATACCACCAATTCCAGGTCACCCGCTGCGTCATTTATTGACACTCTACGCACATTATAGTAATGTAATAATAATAATGATGAAAACAATAATCGGTCTCGCTGTACGATGAGCACAAAGGACGTGTGTCGTGAATCGGCCAATGCAAGCGGCTCTTGTGCATTGCGCAGGAAGCTACATCGTGGCAAGAGCCTCGTCAAATGTATCACTGACGGACCGACCAACCGGAAGCCTCGTAGCCATTTGGGTCATTTAAATAAATAGATGGGCGTACAGGGCACGGCGTGCGTTTAAACATTTCGTAAAGCTCATATTGCGAGTGCATATAAAGTGCATGAAGCGGTTGAAGTTTTTTTTTTTTAAACCACTTATTAGGAAAACCGCGGAACAACGGCACGTCAGGCTCGCTTTGGGTCATCCCCAGCTTCGAGCACCGACCACCGCGCTGCGCTCGATTTCGGAGATGAATTCGTCGAGGGATATGGCACGGTGCAGCATAGCATAGCGGTACGTGCGCGTGTCCAGCTCTCTGTGTCCCTCCAAGGCTGGATGAGTGTCTCCCCAAGCTTGCGGAGGTCACGGGGGTTATGTGACCATACTTCACCACGCTGCTCGGCCGTGGGCTGGCGAAGGGTGGGACGCACGAGATTCGGGAATGTAGAGGAGTGCAATCCAACAAAGAGGTTTGCTGCGCTGCCCTCTGATGCCCACCGCATCTGATGTGATGCCCACCGCATCTGATGTGATGCCCGCCAAACCTAATTTGTGATGCCCGCCATATCAGATTTGACGCCCTCCGCATCTGATGCAACGCCCGCCACATCTGATGTGATGCCCGCTACATTGCACAGCTCAGAAATGTTTCCGATGACAACGTGGGCAAATAGTGCCCGCGACCCTCATGGTGTGGAGTGGCCCTCATCCAGCAGTGGATCGATAAAATGGCTGTACAAGTACAGTGTATGTACCCTATACGAATTCGCAACGTGCCAATCAGTAGTTTATAAGCACCTGTAAAGTAATGTTTCAATGGTGATGCGCGACCCTTGTGCGTCCTACAATGTATATTCGGTTTGTGCCACGTGTCTTTTTTGGCACGATGTCCGACGTTTCGCCTCATGCGCTGGGAGCTTCTTCAGGTGCTGAATATTAATCTCCTGGAGAATCTTAGCGTACACGAGCCTGTTCACTTTTTCTTCTTCGACTTCTTTCCCCTGTCGCTCTTGCCGGTCGTGTCGGCGCTCTGCTTGACCGGTTTCTCCTGCGTGATGGTGAAGTCCTTGATGATCCCGTTTGGTGGCAGCATCTCCTGAATCGTCTTCTCCTTCTGCTTCGGTGGTGGTGGCAAATCCGGCAGCGTCATGTGCCGGACCACTTGTGGCTGCGGCTGTCTCCAATTCGGAGTCCATGCCTGTGGCCAGGCATACGTCTGGGCCGGGGTCCAAGGTTGAGTCCAGGCCTGTGCCCAGGCCTGAGTCCAGGGCTGAGGAGTCCAAGGCTGAGGAGTCCAGGGCTGAGGAGTCCAGGGCTGAGGAGTCCAGGGCTGAGGAGTCCAGGGCTGGGTCCAGGACTGTGACCACGAAGGTGTCCAGGGTTGGGAATAGCCCCAGGAGTGGGCTGGTGGTGGAGGAGGAGGAGGATGGGAAGGAGGAGGAGGATGGGAAGGAGGAGGAGGAGGAGGGGGAGGAGAATGCTCAAGTGGCATGAAGATTGGTGGAAGGACGATCATCGGTGGTGACTGGAGAGTGTCCGGATTGAATCGCTGTGGCCTTTTGACTGTCGTGCGCTTTTCGTTAAAATAATGATCTGACCTCGCATTTGTTAGTTCGTCGTGATCACGTTGGTCATCGAACTGGTGGCCAAAATCTCCGAAGACGAGGTCTCTGTATTTTTTTGAAGGGACCGGTGCTAGGTCAACGTACGGGGGCCAAACCCCGGTGATCCCCGCCAGACGAGCGGCATTCTCACTGTCCTCTCTCGCCCGCAAGTGATTCACGGGGTTCATCAGCGCAAGCGGGGGGACGTTGCTCACGAAGTCGCGCAGAATCTTGCCCCACATCCCGCCGCTGATGGGAGCGACGGTGACCCGGGGCCTCAGACCGACGAGATCTCGTAGGGAGCCGCCCTCGTCGGTCCCGTCGCGGTGACCGTACGGCGGCCTGTGGTAGCCTCGGCCCGCCTCCGCGAAGCCGCTCTCGAACTGCGCGAAGTACATCTCGAGCCGCACGCCGGGGTGGGCCTCCAGAAAGCCGAGGATCCGCGACACGCAGCCGAGGGCCTCGTGCCCGCACGGCGCGTGGCTGGAGAAGAGCGCGACGCGCGTGGCGGCGCCGTGGCCGAGGCCGAGCGTCAGGAGGACGCTGTCGAGGTGACCCTCGGCGTCGAACAGCAGCGTCTCGGGGTGGTGGCCACGCGCCGCGCAGCCCGTCGCGTGGCCTCGCTGCACCAGCGGGCCGCCCGTGCCCCGGAGCTCGTAGAAGCCGAGCAGCGCCCCGTCGTCGCCCGGCCACGGCGCCGAGCGCGCCAGCGCCACCGGGTAGCCGAACGAGCGGCAGAATTCCCGGTAGGGCACTCGGGAATCGGAGCCCACGCGGACGTGGCGCGGGCATCGCGGGCAGAAGGGCGGCTCCGGGTGCGACGTCGGGAGGGCCCCCGGGAAGTGTGCGGCTGGCCACGGTGCCGCGAGAACGCCGTAAGGGACTGCCAGCTTCGCGGGCTGATGGGAAATTGAATGGAGTGAATCCTGCACAGAGGTGGGGCACGGGGAGGGGAAACGACCCCAGGGTCTGGTGTATAAATGGGTGAAAGAGAAACGCGTTAATGTTTTATGTTTTGAGATGCTTAAGCAAAGCAATGGAAACGCAATGCGTTTAAGTACATATATGCATGCTGAACTTCTTTCGCACTGTACGTAGCCAACCGCGCTGAATTGGAGGTGCGGGGGAGAGATAATAAACTGAAAACGCGGCACGGGGCTGGTTTCATCGAGCGGTGGATTGCCACATAAACGTGGGCCATCGAATCAATGTAAAGATTTTAAAATGTATGTTTACATTGATGGACTAATACCCTTGCCAAAGATTACGGGCACATTTGCTGATATATATGTGAGAGTAATTATATGCGGATGCAAATCATAATGAATCAATAATTGTCTTTATTTGTCCCTTAATGTCTGCTTTGGCGGTTGCACACGTGTGTAGCGGCCACAAACATGAATTGCGATTTTTTTTCTTCTGAATTGTGAATCACTTTAATTGCATATCTCATCACGTGGAGAGATGCAGCCTGTACTTTCTGTTCCAGTTATATGGAATGACGGAACATTATGTAATTCGAGGAACTGCGTTTAAGTTACTGTCCAACGTCACAATCAAATGTGCACATTTCAGCAAGATACCCAGAAGTTAAATGGGGATCTTTGAGCCTAAGGGAACTGAAATTGCCCGCGTGAGTTCACATCAGCTAATTGCTGCTATAGAAACGAGACATGTTCAATTGGGCCATCTTCAGCTCGGGTTCACGTGACACGATGATGTGCGGTTTTCGCTTGGAATAAAATAAACATTTACAATTATTTTTAGTTGCACTGATCAGCAACAGCAGAAACCAAGGCCCAGCAACGGCTGGATTTGATACTCATTCGCCTTCACTAATTGACATGTGTATGTCCTGTACATTCTACTGTATTATACCGTACTCCGTGTATGTAGCGTGTATGTATGTTGAACTTATTTCGCGAAGTAGCCAAACGCGCTAATCGAAGGTGCCTATGTGTGCACGTCCTGTGCGAACAATTACACTCGCAATGTGTGCAATGCGCGGACTATGAATGCCCGCATTCGGAAGATACAACCTACGAAGCATTTCAAACAAAAACGTTGTTTTTGTCAAAACATTTTTTTTTAAAATCCTCTTTTGCTCCGAAAAACACATTCTGTGGCATCGCTTGGCAATCACGCAGATCAGGCACTCGTGTCTGTCTTTAGTGCCTGTCTAAAGAGGCAGGCACAAGAATTTATGGAATGATAAAAGGGCCCTTCAGCCAATGCGGTTTCGCCATTGATATGCACGGCCCACTCGCGTATATTTACACTTCCAAATACACATTTATGTGCCACTAACCCCTGCAGTACAGCTGTCTGAAAGGGCTGTTAGAAATACATTACACGAACCGGTTTTTTTTGCTGTAAAATAGAATGACTATATATTTTTTTATATATTTTTTTTTAACCTAGGCTTTCAGAAGGTTTACATTCAAATGTTTGGCTTCCTAATCTATCATTCTCGGAATGCAAGCGTTAACATTGTATTGTGATTATCTGCATCGGATAGTGATCGGCGAAGACCTCGCGTGGCAAGACGCTAATCGATGTGCCGATGCTGTAATCAGGCCCAAAGGGTGAATAAATAATCACTTACTGAGCGATCCGGAATATCTTCGCAGCCTTTCGTGACGAATAAACCCCACAACAGAGCCTCGTCAAGTTGGTCTCGGTCCTGTTCGTCGGCGGTTAGAGTAGGCTCAGTAGTTAGTTACGGTCTCATGTTCCAAGTATACCATCAATGATTAACGCACTCGCCACTCCGGATTGCTGGGGGGCGGATGGGTGGGGGAGGAAAGTCAGAGTTTGCGGCCGGTTGCTACGGTATCGATAATAGCAAGCGGTTGTCTTTATAAACTGGGGTCACATGACCCATGGTGGGGTGGCAGTGTTTGCCTTTCATTGCTGCTACTGCTGCTTGTTCTCCACAGCAACCAATAACCAAACCAAACACGCGCAGCGGCGAGCCACTGCGACACGCCACAGACCCTCTCTGTGCTGCTGTGTGGCGCTTTGAGTCTGTCTCCCACCCGTCGTTGGGCCTTTGAAGATGATTATTTGCGTGCGGGATGGATAAAAATGGGCCCGCAAGTGAACGAGAGGAGACGCGGTTACGATGACGATGATGAGGTTGCCGGTTAAGGTGCGCGCGCATTAATTGGAATAATTATCATAATTGCAATAGGCAGATTGAAAGGTAAAGTGGAAGTATGGTAATGAAAGCGATACACGTGCATAACAACAAGGGCAGCTCAACGAGTGAATTATGCAACGGCTAACATTGTAAGGAATAACATAAGAGCATTTTTCGTGCGCGGTGTTGAGCTGTATGTCATTTTTTTAATTTTTCATGAATTTCATCATTTTTATTTTTCATTTACAGTGTTGAGCTGTATGTCAGCTTGCCATTTATTACAATATACCAAACACATACTACATATATATTATATATACCCTTTGGTTCTTTCGGTAAAGTCACGTAGGTAGAAAAATAAATAAAACAAAAAAATATATCACGACGTTTCGATCGCAACACAAGCGGTCGTCCTCAGGTGGAAAAAAAATCATCCAGCAGTGGAACTGCTGAACCAGCGAGAGAGCTGTTACAACAAGGAGGTTATTTACGTGGCGATGGGCAAGCAAGCGGGGTCTGAGCTGGAAAGGAATTTCATCCCCGGACGCAAGCACGTCAGTTGTGTTAATGGGAGAGATTAGGGAGAGAGAGATTAGGGAGAGAGATTAGCATGAAATTAACTTCCTTCACCGCATAAGAGTATCGCCCCCCGCATATGCGCGCAACAGCAGTGTTAATGGGAGATTAGCACTACGTTGATGGGAGAGATTAGGCCAGGGAGATTAGGGGGATTAGCACGTTAATGTCATGTCTATGTGTAACAAGCTGCGGCGCTACCAACTGCGCTGTGAGAGGCAAGCGCGTCCACGCAAGGGAACCACCACAACGGTGGTCGCGCCAGTGAGACACACAGCCCATCACACAGCCAGAACCATCGGTACATCGAGGCTGAGGGAGCAGAGGTGGCCATGTTAGTGAGACCCCAGATCGTTAATGCAGAGGCACCCAACAGGGCAATGCAACTCAGAGAGTCGGAGAGAACAGCGGAACGGCAGGAAGGATGGAAGCACCACAGCAAGTTACGACTTTGCTTGGTTAACAACGTCCTTCCAATGATTGCTCAGCTTATACCCATATTCTCAGTTGAAATTCTCAGTGTTTATATATCTGGATGGCTTCATGGACACATCTTTTAAAGTAGCCTGAAGGTTTGCAGAGTACCTTGGTCTCGGAAAAAACAATATCGTGCGAGCCCACTGCGCTATAACAATGATCAGCCACTGCAGAGGTATTGGTTCTACCGTGTTTCAAATCTTTCCTTGTGTTCGCGAACACGGTCCGAGACATGTCGTTTCGTTTCCCAAATGTAACTGCTGACGCAGACACAACTTAGTTTGTGGACACCAGGGTATTGCATGTCAGGAATGACATCCTTCACAGATGGGATAAAATCACGGTTTTTGTGTACTGTATTGAATCGAACCTGGATCTTGTGTTTGTTTAAGATTTTGGAAATATTTTTGGGAACACCTGCTATGTATGGCAAGGTGATGGTTTTGATTGGGTTCTCAGATGGTTGTCTCCCCATGGTTGGGGATACAGCTTTGTGGATTGTGCGGTCTGAGTATCCATTCATCTTGAGGACTTGGTGTACGTGCTCCAGTTCACTGGCTAGGTGGCGCTAGTCGGAGATGCAGCGGGCCCTATGGTGTAGTGTTTTGATGAGGAAGTTCTTCTGGGCCGGATGGTGGTGGGAGTCAGGCTTTAGATAGGAATCCGTGTGGGTGGCTTTCCTGTAGACGGAATGTCCCAACGAGTGATCAGGCCTCTTCTCGATCAAAACATCCAGGAATGGTAGCTTGCCATCGTTTTCCACTTCCATGGTGAATTTTATGGATGGGTGTATGGAATTGATGTGGTTGAAAAACTGGTTCAGTGCTGGCTGGCCATGTGGCCAGATGATGAAAGTGTCATCTATGTATCTCTTCCAGAGGGAAGGACGTAGGGTGGATGTCAGGATGGCATCTGTTTCTAAATTTTCCATGAAAACATTCGCTACCACTCGTGATAAGGGAGAACCCATAGGGGTACCTTCCTTTTATTTGTAGAATGTACCATTCCAGATGAATTAAGTGTTGGTAAGGCAGTGCCTCACCAAAGTTGGTACATCAGGCTTCAGTCCCTGTTGGACCAGGTCTTGAGTGATTGCTATGGTGTCAGGTACCTTAGTGAACAGAGAGACTACATCGAAGCTGACAAGCAAATCATCTGGAGACAGTGAAATGTCCTTGATTAGAGAAACCAAGTGAGCTGAATTAAGTACTGCTGAGGTGGTCTTTCCCGTGAAAGAAAGCAGGGTCTCAAACAGAAATCGGGCCAGTTTGTAGGTAGGTGAGTTTATGGTAGAAACGATAGGATGGAGTGGAGTACCTTCTTTATAGATTTTTGGAAAACCATAAAATCTGGGTGGTCTAGCAGCCGAAGGTTTTAGAGAGAGCTGCTTGTTCGTTTCGATTAGAGAAGTCGAATTAGTGATGATATTGTTGTTTTTTGTAGCCAGGCGGTTGGTAGGATCTTTTGTTGATTTTAGTATAACTGTCATCATTAAGAAGGTCCTGGATTTTGTTGTTGTATGTGGTTTTATCCATGATGACCGTGGCATTGCCCTTGTCAGCTGAAAGGTTGACAATGTCATATCTCTTTTTCAATTGAGCGAGTTCAGAGCGCTCATCCCTGCTGCTGTTACTAATGGGTTTCTTAGCGTTTTTGAGGATGGTGGCGATTTCAGATCTTGCCACGTCTGCTGGGATGTGACCTAAACCTTTGAGGGCTACGTCAACCTGGGCAATGATATCATCCACTGGGATGTGTTTGGGGGTGACTGCAAAGTTCAGCCCTTTAGCTAGTACCGATTTTAGGCTATTGGAAATTGGGCTGTTACTCTTATTGATGATAATCATGTTAACATCTAACTTTTTAATGTGTGGATCTGGTTTCTTTTTGACAGGATGTTGAATTTAGCAATCAGGTTAACTTTACATTTGGTTGACATTGTCGCGCCAGAAGAAACAGTCATGTAATCTACAAGGTCCCAATCAGATGTGGACATTTGATCTGTTAATGCTAAGTGTGATTGTAAGAGACATTTGTCTAAATTATCAAGTTCAAAACGGAGCAGTCCTATCCTCTCTGAGATTACCGATAGGCTAGCTTTGAACAATATCCGTTTAGCGTTAGGAGAAGTGACAGCAGCAGATGTGAGTGTAAATGCGATCGGTATTACGTTGTTATCGCGACATCTCTTGAGAAAGGTGAGCGACTCGATCAGGTGAGCCTTCTTGTCTCGCAGTCTGTTAGAAGCTCTAACAGATGTGTGGAAACCCTCCCCGTCGAGGTGGTTCAATATTATTATATAATACAAAAAATAATGTACAGGCTGATCCAGATGTCTTGTGATCCTCATTTCATTCCCAAAAACGTAATAGTTTAAAGGTAAGCTTTACTTAAATCAGACATGAATATGCAAAGGAAAACAGGACATCTGAACCACCCTGTACAACAGAGGAACAGGGGACCTGGCCACCTGAGTTCAACTCCTGGCCCATGGCAGTCCATTCCCATTCCTCCTCTTCCTCCTTGACCACCAGTGTGGTGAACATCTCGTTAAAAATAACCAACCCATTATTTACATGGTCTTCTTTATCTTTAGCAGTGGATTGATAGATTGTTAAATTAAAAGTAATTAACATATCAATAACTACAATATTGGTTCAAGGTCAAGGTGCAGCCAGGTAACTTCGTGCGCATGCCACTGCTGACAATATTAGTTCTGTACTTGTGCTGGACAGCACTAATGAAAACTAATTTCTTTAGAACCGCTTTTGTATGTTTAGTTTGTTATCCTTGCCCCCGCACCTCCGGCGACCACGGTTGGCAACGCTACGTAAGGTGCAAAAGAAGTTCAACATACATACGTGTTACCACTGGCTAGTAAATGTACGTTCAGAATACACAACGGTTGTTGATATGATGTTGATCATTTACATGAGTCATGCCGTCGAAATATTCAATGGCATTAACATTATGCACGGCCTCAGATGGCTTTATTTGCGTTTTATTGTCCATTAGCGCCGAACAAGAACATTTAAAGATAAATATATTAATGTACTGTGCAGTATTTCTTTGCCAATCAAAACCACCAGATTTGTCATATTTACAGACCGATCATTGGCTGACGTTTCGTTCAGAGGTTCTGCAGAGAGTAGATTTGTGCTTGCGTGCTGTTTCCAATGATGACGACGATGATGAGGACCTTATGTTTGTTTTGTTAAATATCTTTCCTCTTGGGAATCAGCCGCCGCGTCTTTGTCAGCGAACTGTGTGATCCAGAGGTCGCCGGTTCGATTTCTGGCTCACCCCACAGCATAATTGGGTTCAGCACGGTTTGTCGGGTGGCAGGTCGCGAGTGGTGGGGCAGCGGTATGCGACGCATAGGGGGCCCTCGAATCAACAGATAAACAAGTTAAACAAATGTGATGAACAAAAAATATTCCAAATATTTTTGTATTCATTTTTTTATTGCGGTGGACCATGGCTCAAAGCCCGATTCACGCAT